AATACAGATTTCCTGCTGGTTTAAATAATCAGATTTAGCCATTATCTTCAAGCATCTTTTAATAAATCAACATAATATCCTTTAGCAGGAGGTGAAATTGTAATGTTTCCACTCTATAATTAAATCCCACAGCATGCATAGGGTAATCAAAGTACTTTTTCCACTGATAAAGCAGCTTGGTTTGCAGTTTTCCCTTCTACTGAAGTTCATCTCACCAGGACAGCTGTGACTTTTCTTGTGTATGACACTAGTAAAGAGATGATAAGCACAGCTGCTAAAGCTCTGCTGAAAGTCTTCAAGTTAAACATCTGTAGCTTGATGCAGACTCCGCGGCAGACTAACAATGATAACAATAACTGAAATATCAAGCGCTGGTAAGCGCTGCTATGCTTTTCAAAGCCCCTGCTGTGAGTGCCTCTGCTGACCTCCTGTCCATTTGGAAGCACGGGGAAGACTCACTTCTGTGTGTGGTGACACCTATCCTGATAGGTTTACCTATAACAGTCTCCATTTTCTGCACATGCTAAAAAAAGGCGTTAAAAACTAGGGAGGAGCAGTGAATTTTTGTACCAAAGAGCTTGTTTTTGTTACTTGGCTCAGTTTCCTGATTAATCTAGATGAGTACATAGTACTGCTGTGTCATTAAATCACACTAATTAATTACAAGTGCAGTGCAGAAGTAAATCTTATGTTCGTGTTCAGGTAGCTTTTTGAAATTTAAACTGAGTTCTGATCTATTTAGTGTCATGGTAAGCAGTGTCTTTTGAGATAAAAACAAAATGCTGTGTCTGGCTCTAGGATGGTTCAAGAATAGCGAGACAGAAGATGTTCTACTTGACCAAGAGACAAGGAGATTGACACTGTCACAAACCAAACATTTTATTTTGATGGCAGTCAAGTTTAACTATCAAAATTTTGTACAGTATGGAACACAGCAGATGACATGACACTTGCCTGCAAATCCAGCGCCTCAAGGCCCCATCCCTACAGCTGCAGTCCCAAAGCTATTTTGACGTAGCAATGCATTTCAGCTTCACGGGAAACACAACAAAAACTTTAATCCTGTGAAATTGTAGGTCACGTTCACACCAACCTGCTTTTTCAGGTGAAAATGAATTCATATAGGCAGTGAATACAAATAAGTGAGGTGCCTCTTTGCTTTTCCAGAATCGCCACCCTTTCAGGAGTAGCAAAGCAGCTGCTGGACCATTTAAGTCCAAGTACGTTGTTCTGAAGTGTCGTACGCACATTGTTCCCTAGCCATACAACAATAATGTTCTGCATGTATCTGGCAAAGAGGAGTCTGTAGCAGCTACCGATCTCATCCAAAACACCTGAAGCAACAAGATATCAAGACTGACAACCACTTTTGGCATTTGTAAACTCCACAGACTGCCTGGTCGACGAGAGAGAGAAAGTGAGTTCCCTGGCAGGCTGAATAGCACCTTTCCTTTTTTCCATTCATAGTGTGTAATAAATACCAAGTAGCATTTAAATTTCTATAATTAAATTTAACAGTTGAGTTGGAGCTGTGAAGAGCCCGCATATCCTCTCTACTCTAACTGAGGTGCAAGATTTCACCAGCTTTTAGACCAGTCGGAGGACATAAATGTGCATTTATTTTCAGAAATGTTTTCTGTCTGCATTTTGTTACATTTCACACTGAATTGCTAACATAAAACACTGGGTTTTAATAAACACTGAATTCCTATTTAGCTTTAATAGGCTGCTTTTATTAAAAAAAAAAGTAATACATTTTGTATTTTAGGCATTTATCGTTCTTTAGTAGCATGCATTTCTACAAGGTACAAATTCCAGTCCTGTTTCCTATGTGGCAAAGCTACCTAAACCAAGACCGCCATAATCCCAGCATTCTCCTAACGGTGGCGCTGAAGCACAGATAAATTACTTTTTGCAAAAAACCAAGCTAATAGACATCGGTAGAGATGAGTACACTTTACAGAATAAATACCCAACATATTTGTCATCACTAAAATTGGCAGGTTTAGATCCTTTAAAGTAGCATTGAATAAAAAAGTTTGACCTCTGTGCCTTCAGCATTTAAGCGTAAGGTTTGTACGCTAGCAAGACAACGCATATATAAGCAAATATTTTATAACCCTGATTTTTGATAGTATGTTGGAATTAACAGTCCTCTGCACCTTGCAGAGCAGGACACGGCCAGTACCACTTCATGTAATGCTTCTTTCATTCTAGAAGCGACTTCATATCCTAGAAACGTACAACTACAAATAAAGGAACTTTCCAAAAAAGAAATTCTTCATGCTCATATTCCTCCCTGGAGAGATCTGGCATGGCGTAATGAGGATACAACACATCCTAACGAGCATGAACAAAATGCAACCTGTTGCTATCTTATTAATAACACTTCCTGAGCAATCCTAGGAGTGGTGTACAGAAAGAGTTGACTTGCTCTTATTTTTTTGCTGGTAAATTTAGATTGTTTAAGGGATCAGCGACACGTCAGTTAGGCAACACAAGCGTCCAAGTATCACAGCTACCTCTACCACTGAATTCTGTAAGTGCCTTCTTTTTTGAAGCCCTTTTCAGTGAATAAGAAATAAAAAAATCCCTTAAATTTACATCATAATCTGCAGGCAGAAGTTTAATTTGAAATACGAAGTGACTTTTGACAGCACAAAACCAGAACAGCAACGGAGCGGAGACTGTCAAAAGAGCTACTGTCCTCCTCTTCCGAGTTTCACCCCCACCCCTTTAATTTCATTCCCAAGGTTTCTTTTTGACACTAGCAATTAAAAAGCCACCTTATTTGGTCAATTTGGCAACCATTAGCATCCTGAGAGGTAGTGTATCTTCTATCCATGTGTTCGGCGAGTTCATCATCTTCTCCCAAAGGGCAGTTTCATCTGAAGTAGAATCCATCCAGTCTACTGTAGTTCCATAGCTTTTGCCTAGGAAAACGTCCGTTTTAAGAGAAACGTTACTTAATACGCTGCAGGCTGAGAGCAGACAATCAAATTTGCCTGTCTAAAAGGGTTTTACCTCCTCAGGTAGCTGACCTAGTGCTTTGAAGATCCAGTTCTACATTTTTACACTTGAACGATTCTGTCAAATACAACTAACAACAGTTTCACATTGGAAACTTCATCTTTCTCCAGGCTTTTTTTTCCCCTTGTTAACCCTGTCTTTTTGTCACAGCCCCAAGGAGAAAGATGTACAGGCAATTAACATCTGAGAGGGTTTAAGAATAAAACAGGACAC